TTAGAAGTTAGAAAGCAAACTCTGGCCCAGCAGAAATGCTTTTCGACGAATAAGAGACATAGTTTTGCAAATTCCCTGGCTTATGACCTCATTTCAAAGTTTAGGCAAAAGCGCGAGGCACATCTGGACAGATCCAAATATGCTTCTAAGCCCGACTTTCTCGTTTACACAGGGAAAGGTAGTTTGTCATTCCTTCGGGCCAATACTTCATCACCAATGAGTTCCGTGCCCCGAGTCCCTGGCCACTGAGTCAAAGACGCATGTGAAGAGGCATCACAGGAAGCATGAACTCTAATTCTGCCCTTCCACACTTGTCAGCACAGATGGGAGACCTGAGAGGTTCTCCGAAAACACAGATCGCTTCTTCCCAGAAAGGAAGGGCAGGTGAGTTGATGATAACTCGGGAATATTCATTTAAAACATTAAAACCAGACCACATGTTGCATACAGAACTCATGGTAGCCTGCCTATCAGATTATTTTTAAAGAAAGAATTTTCAAAGAATTTCCTTGAAATTCTGGGTATAGTGCAGTTTCACGTGGAAATGCAGCCGCCAGATGCCATTGAGATGAATTACGCAGACCTCCTCTCTGGACTTCACGCTCCTACGTCAGTCGCTCTGTGGACTATTCTCAACTTAACAGCCACCAGGACAACCCTGACTAAAACCACCCTCCTCCCTCTTTTACTCAGAGGAAAAGCCACGGGCTTTATGAGGGCCTCCCGGGCGCTACGTGACCTGTCTGACACCATCTCTCTAATCTCCTCTCCTAGGACACTTTCGATAATCCTTGAACATGACCAGAGCGGCACTGGCTGTCCTCTTTGCACCCTTAAGCAGGTGACTTCGGCTTAAATGCTACCCTCTTCATGAACCCTTCCCTGCCGAGCTGAAATTCCAACTCCCTTCTCCATCCCCAGCCCTGTTCCACGTTTTCCCTTCCAACATTTTCAAATTGTGCCATTCTTATTTAACTTTCTAAATTAATTATGTGTCTTCCTCGAAAATGGAGACTTTTCTAAGGAAAAGCTTTTCTTGCTGTTTTATTCACTGATAGTATCTATATACCTAGATCGGTGCCTGACCCACGGCAGACACTCAGGAAATACTGTGGAATGAACTAATGTATTCTAAGAATGTCCTGTTTTTACCTGTGTCTTCCCACAATCTCTGCATGCATGTGACATTTACCTTAAAACTGTACCTGTATTTGTAATTAACGTAGAGATCTTTTAATTAAAGGCTTTGGGGGAAGTAGTATTAATACTATGAGTCATTCTTTTCATACTTCAAAAGCGTGGAATGGTTAGTGATACAGGCCACACAGAACTGGACATTTCTCTAAATAGTTTGATAGTCAAACATCCTACCGTAGTTACAGGATATCCATAATGTGGGGCTGGATTCAAAATACTCCCGGTTCCAAAATAACATCAGAACACCAGGAGGTCTAGAACTGCACAAATACAAACTATCTTCTCACTAACTTTTCTTTTCAATAGCCGATCAGATTTGCACCTGTTCTAATACCTCTGGTTGAGGAAAAACAGCATTTGGAAAGAGCAAACTGCTGTTACTCAAAGCTGAATTTGGCTGAGGGAGTAGAGTTTACATTCCATTGTCGGCTAGATCCTTACCCCATGGAATGTCTGAGAACAGAATTCGGGCCACGAAGAGGTCGGCAGTGCTTTGACCAAACACAACCTCAGGAAATTAAACATTATACATTGACTTCTACACTATAGATGTCACTTGCACATAATATAGGAGTTTTCAAAATGCTCCTCCCACTCACAGTCGCCCAGTTGAAGGCACTTGAGTGGAAAAATTCACCCCCCATGCATAACTTCCAAACGAGGCATCCATTATCCCATGTGTCTAATTTAGTTCCTCACACACTCAGTGCCCCCTCCGTGGTGAAGAGGGAGCGAGGGAAATGTGTTACACTACTGACAACAGCCCTGCCTCGGCATCCGTGTGCGAGGATGGAAACAAGCCCACGATTCTGCTGTGCGGCGGGTCAAGGGTCCCACATCTGCAGCACCAACTGATCAAACAGAGGCCCTACGGGGTCTGAGTCCTTCCACGCCGAAGGGCTGTGAGTGCCAAGACCTGAATAAGCAGAGCATCCGCAGCGCTAGTGAGGTGAGAACAGCCCTTGGTGCCTGGCTAAATGTGCACCCGTGTCTGCTCTGCCCGCCCCCACGGGCACTCACTGGGCAGGTCTGACACGGGGCCAGGGAATCTGCTTTCTCTGACACCTCAGGAGACACAAACACAGGCCACGCTTTGAGAACCACCGCCTTTAAACCTTAACGGAGCTACTTAAAAGCCTCTCACTCAGTAAATTCCCGAAAACAAAACAAAAACGAAACAACCAAAAATTAAAGCAAAACCAAAAACCACCTGAAGCTGCTTCGCCACTTTCAATCCATGTATTCACAGAGAGCCTGCTTCAGTTGCGTGTCTTCTGGGTTTTTCTATCGGCTTAGGAAAAGCTTCAGGCAGGCTAACCTGATCTCCACCAAGATTTTGGGGGGCGAGGAATTTAAAAAGAGAAAAGTGATTCAGCAGCCACATGGGCCGTGAGGAGCAAGGACCATTTCGTCCTCCAGAGGATTTTATTTCAAGCTGATGAAGCGTCGGCGCTGCCAGTGCAATCGTGGGTGTCAGAACACGGAGTTATCAACTACACCCAGGTTCGAGGGTGAGAACAGCAAGAGGCGCCACAGGCCGGCTCCCTCCAGCCGCTCCCAACATCTCCTTGGAATGGAGAGGCGGTTCACACAAGGTGACAGGGATGGCCCTGGAGCTGCTTGGCACAGGCCGGCCTCCACTTAACGAGGGCTCAGAATCACACTCAGCATGGAGAAATTCACCCTGACCCTGGACACTTGCCCCCTGGCATCCGCTCACTTACATTTTTACTCAATTACTATTTCTAAGAACAGAGACAAAAAAAAAAAAGCAGAGCCCACTGCTCCGCCGTCCTCTATGGAGGGTCTGAAAGGGGTCCCCACGGTTGTTCCACAGGCCTGGAGGCCGGGTGGGGTGGAAGAGCCTCCCTCCGTATGGGAATCGACCCGGAGCTGGTGCTCGATCTCTCCTTTCCATGCCCTTGGAGACATTCCTGGTTTTCCCAGACTCACTGAAGAGCAGGGTGGATTTCCAGTGTTTTTTTTTTTCTTTCACCAAAGAAAGAAGGAGGCTTGCAGCAAATGAATGACCGAAAATAACCCCAAGTGAGGAGTGTCTGAGAGGAAAAACCACACAAGGAAGCAGAGTGGGCCTCTCAACTTGTTTACTAGGGGAAGAAAAGATGAAAAGGAAATTAATCCAAAGTAGTCACTAAGAAAATGATTAAAAAAAAAAAAAATTAAAGGGACAGGATTCCAAAGGGAAAGTGAAAAAGAAAGAAGCGAGAAAGTTTGGGATGTCTGTGGTCCCATGGAGGGCACGGGGGCCAGACCTGAATTCAGGCTCTGGATTTGCCACGCACTAGTGCGTGCTGGGACCGAGGACAAGGGATTTCCGTCTCCAAACCATGGTCTCCTGACACATGGGGGTCATCATCCCGGCTGCCCCCTACCCACCGCCATGGGGTGGGGGTGGGGGGGTTCAGGAAGATGGGTCTTAAGTGCCAGGGACATAGGAGGGATTCAACAAATGTTTTCCTTCTCTCATTCCATCTTCCCTTTCCGTTTCCAAAAAGCTAGTGGGAAAAACACCAGATAATTAACTCCTTGGTTTAGATAGTGAAATAAAACACGAACTATGGATTGAAAACAAAATATAATCTGTTTCACAAAAGGGAAATGTAAAAGCAGGGATTAAACTTTTCACTCTTTTCACATGACAGCTCTTAGCCACTTCCGTTCATGACAATGAATGTACGTTCTCAGTAGAATCAGTTCTTTGTGAGGAAACCCAGCTTAGACCATTGTAATTAAACTACTTTAATCCTTCAGTCCTTGATTCCTAAGAAGCAAGGTTAGGTAGGCATGGTAAGTTGCAGAGTAAGACATCAGCGAATCAGATATCTACCAGGGTAATAAAAACATACTGTTTGTCCCTGTCTGGGACCTCTGCCCACAGTTAGCTTCAATATAATCCAAACCTTCTTGGGGTCTCAAACATGCATGTAAACCAATGCCAGGATTGCGAGTTCAAGTCATTTCTTCCTCAACATGGACCAGGGACAACTTCAAACCCCTGAGTTCTTGAATATCTCAAGATCATCTAAGTCCTATTCTTTGCTGTGGTCTCCCTGTTCAGCATACAGTAGGCACTCAATAAAGGCTGACCGAATTGATTAATGTTTCAAATCAGAAAGCACTGAGACCTCTGGCTTCAGTGCCCCTCGGCCTGGCACGAGGCGCTGGCTCTGAGGGGTGTGCACTTGTGCTGAGGGTCAGGGCTGGGTGGCCAGCTCCCACGTCCAGTCAGCCAATGGCCTGACCCATGACAATCCATTCTCATGCAACCCAGAAATGACACTATGAAGGTAATGGCAATTCTCCCATAGGCTTCCCTATGAAGAGGAAAAGCTCCTTCTTCCCCTTCAGTTGAGTACAAGAAACATTAATTGAGCAACTACTGTATGCCAGGCATAAGAACATAGATGCATAAATGGTAACAAACAAAGGGCACTTGATATCTTGGCCATGCTGTTCAACCCCTCAGAGAGCATCCTGCATGGGTGGGTCTGCAGACCCGTATTTCAGATCACTATGTCACCCCTGGGACACATATGTCATATACCCACAATCCATTCTTTCACATACAACAATCAAGTCATCATTTACCACAAAGCTATTCATAACTTTTTCTCACATAAACTGTGACTGACAATTTGGGGCACCTTGGCGACTATGCAGCTACAAAGCTGCACTTCAGAATTCTATGCTGCCTCTGACAAGTTCCCCACGGGAGACACACGCTAAAGATGGACTTGATATCACTACGTCAAATGAGGTATAAAGCAGACAAGTGTACTCACCAAGGTACCCACAGAGCACCTGGGAATGTCTGGAACACAAGCTGCCCACAGAGCCAGAAGGTGTTGTAACAACTGGGCAGACAGCTAGGAGTTTTAAAAAGCACAGTCATTAGCTATTTTACTGAGGAGACGCCTTGCACAGAGCTATACAAAGATTCAAAGTCGATGGGGGCTCTCTGAACATACTTATTCCCCCACATGTATAATGTCCCTGCTATTCAGGGACCAAGGAGCTACAGAGGATTCTGGATTCTGGTCCAGATTTAATGCATCTCTTAACCACCAGCCACTCCTGAATTCCGTTTTCCCCTTAACACTTAGCTCTAGCGTCAAAATAACAATGTACAATTTACACACATAAATGGTAAAACAAATACCGTGACTTACATTAAAGATGAACAGGAAGGGCCTTGACCTCCTTTGGCAAAAGACAGCCTTCCTATTATGAATGAAACTGAATGTTTCATTTGGTTGGCCTACATTTCAGTTTTCTTAAATACCCCCATCATCATTTCTAGCCCACGTGTTAAAACTCCTCAAATAAGTAAAAAATACAAGTGGATCTTGGTTTGGGGCTACTGAGCTATAGTTCAGAAATCTAGGGCCTGGGATGGATTAAACACACCTGCCATGATAGTTATCCCATATCCCAATGAAACTGTGAACTTTTCTTTCTCTAACTTACATCTTGTATATCGCCCAGCATATTCTTATAAAAGAAAATACACCAAAGAGTACCTCTAATTGAAGAGAAAACACTCTTGAGTGTTCTGTCTGGGGTGGAGTCAATGACAAATGGAGTTTTGGATAAGAACATGTGGACTGAAGGGCGCCTGAGTAGCTCAGTCAGTTAAGCATCTGACTTCAGCTCAGGTCATGATCTTGCAGTTCGTGAGTTCAAGCCCCAGGTCAGGCTCTGTGCTGACAGCTCAGAGCCTGGAGACTGCTTTGTATTCTGTCTCCCTCTCTCTCTGCTCATCCCCCTCTTGTGCTCTGTGTGTGTGTGTCTCTCTTTCAAAAATCAATAAACATTAAAAAAAAAAAAAACCCTGTAGACTGAAACCTTTGCTCTGTCACACCGTGCTAGTTTCCTGTGAAACTCTGAACAAATCCCTGGATTTACCCAAACTTCCATTTCTGTAAAATGAAGCAAACCCCTGAGGGGTTTTAGAAGATCACAAGACACTGGCAAATAAAAGGTGATCAAGGGATGTAATAATATTAGTTATCTATCCCATCTGATAGATGAATCCCCGACTGGCTTCTAGGCCTGGTGTGACTACACTTCTTCCCTAGCTCCTCACACAGATGTAAAATCCATGTACCTTCCATTCATCTGAGGCACGTCTTCCAAAAGTAGTAGCACTGCCACTCTTCAGACCTGACTTGAAAACTTGTGACAAGAGACAAAAGCCTTGTGGGTAGATTCCTCTCCCAATCTTTCTTTTCTTTTCTTTTTTCTTCTCTTTTCTTTTCTTTTCTTTCCTTCTTTCTTTCTTTCCTTTCTTTCTTTCCTTCCTTCCTTCTTTCTTTCCTTCTTTCCTTCCTTCCTTCCTTCCTTCCTTCCTTCCTTCCTTCCTTCCTTTCCTTCCTTCCTTCCTCTCTCTTTTTCTCTCTCTTTCCTTCCTTCTTTTTCTCTCTCTTTCTTTCCTTCTTTCTTTCTCTCTCACTCTTTCTTTCTTTCTTTCTTTCTTTCTTTCTTTCTTTCTTTCTCTCTTTCTTTTTCTTTCTTTCTTTTCTTTCCTTCTTTCTGCCAGATTTGTGCCTATTTTCTCTCTCAGTTTGAAAATGGATGAGGAAGAGGAAGGCTTTTTTCCAAACCCTGTAACTTACTGTCTCTAACACTCAGCTCACTCACAAGGCCCCGACGCCATGCTTTCACATTTCTGGGGGTTACACCTTCCAGTCAGAGCCCTCTGTCATGCAGACTACCAGGCTCTGGGTGCCCTGGCTAGCATGGAAGACGAAGGCCCAACAGCCAGGTTTCTGCAACACGTGGCTATCATGTTGGCACCATATGCCGTTACCAGCTGACGTCTGCTCACATATGTTCTCACCAATAAGCAACCATGTTGTTTATTTTTAGAGCCTCTCCCCAGCCTGAACAGGGAGAAAATTCCCTCAAATAGCCCTTCAGCAAAGACAGGAAGCCACACTGGGTATAAACTGTTTGTCACAAGATTAGCAAGTCAAACAAAATCCTCATTCATAGCTGACCTCTAACAAGAGATGCTGAAAGTTATCTTAAATAAAAATCTCCAAGACCATAACCAGAGAAAAGCAGACTATGCAGAGGAAGTCGCTTGGTTAAGCAATACTTTTTCTTCCAGCTATGGCCCTGTGCATTTCTTGGGGGGATTTAACTCCTTTTCCTGGGAAACAGCACCTTCTTCAGGCCAGTGGATGTCGTGGTGCCGAAGAGGGACAGTTCGGAACAGAATCCATATCCCTAGAACGCCCCAGGTCACCCAGGTCAGAGGAAGTCTGGGCGGGACCAAGGCAAGGTAACTACTCACATGTGCAATTTCCAGCTAGTAGTCCTCAAGTATGCACCTTTGGTTTACTTTTACTCTGCTATAAAGCTGCAGTATTAAATCCTTTCTTTCCTTATTTTCCTGCTTCGTTTTGTTTGTTTTTAAGCAAGGCCAAAAGACAAGGCGCTCTGGTGCTGATCCATTATGCAGAAGTACAGATAGGAAATTGGATAAAGATTGACGTGATGCTAGTAGTGATTATTTAGGTCAAATAAAGCAACTCTTGGGTTTTTTTTTTTTAAATGCTTTTTAAAAAATGTTTTATTTATTTCTGAGAGAGAGAGACAGCACAGCAGGAGAGGGTCAGAGTGAGAGGGAGACACAGAATCTGAAGCAGGCTCCAGGCTCCGAGCCATCAGCACAGAGCCCAATGCAGGGCTCGAACCCACGAATCGTGAGATCATGACCTGAGTCAAAGTTGGACGCTTAACCAACTGAGCGACCCAGGCGCCCCTAGCTTTGTTTTGTTTTTTTTTTAATCAATCTCAACAATCCATATAACTACAGTGGCACTGTGATAGGAATATGTTTTTATAGATCAATGAGGCCTTGGATATATGCGAAATGCTTTATAAAGTGTGAAAACCTATGAACATCTGAGACATGAATTAGTTTTAGAGAAATAATCCTTTTAAAAAGTTCTTGGGCATTCACTGACTGATAGTGGAGGATTACCACTCACAGAAGTTGGAAAATAGAAATGGTCCTGAATTAAAATTTTGCATGGGTAATTTACAAAATGTCTAAAAGATTATGATATTAACTATGTAAGTTTTAAGGTTCATTTTGCCTGTGATGGCACAGCTAAGGAATAAAGCTAAGAAAGAAAACCAAAATACAGTGTTTCCAGAGTGTCTTTCTGAGCTCCTGCCTAAGGATCACCTGGCTTTCTTTTCAAAGGGCAGTTTCTGGAGCCCCCCCCTTAAAACTGCTGAACCCCAATCTAGATGCAGGGTAGGAGACAAAGGTTTGGGAAGCTGCATGTATAATAAGCACTACTCCTGAAACAGGATTCTTCTGCATGGTAAAGTTTGAGAAACTTGGGTATAGGCTTTTGTGACTTATAGTTCAAAAAGGACTCTTACAAAATCTCATTTGACCTTGAGGCAATCCAACCAGGTGGGTGAGGGAAAAATTAGCCCCTCATAAAGTTTACTTGTTCTGGGTAAGTTGTGGTTTTTTTGTAGTGTGAAAGCATCTATGAAGAGAACACATTTCTCGCTGCAAGATAGCTTAAGCATAATTAAATGCCATTACAAAGGCTCCAGTAAACTCGGTGTCTAATTAGTGCTCACCTCAATCCCTCCAAACCTGCCCAACAGACATCTTTCTCACGACTGCAGCAGTTTCCTATGTGCGCACTATCATTTCTCCCCAACGCTTACTGCAGTAACTTTCTACTTAGAGAATTCCCAGCAAATGTTACTGAGGGAGGGCAAACTGCCGATTCCAAATGTATAATGACTCGGGGTCAGCTAGGCTCAAGACCCTCTTTCTAGAATGTGGATACGAGTGCCAAAGAATTAATGAAATTAGACATGACTCTCTACACATAGCTTCATTGTTGGTGGTGATATTTTGTGACAGTAGTATTCTTCTGAAATATGTTTCTCTCCAGGACAATCTAGCACCAGTCACCTTATTCTATGGGGGAGAAAAGCACAAGTTTAGTGAGTGGGTGAAACAGTGGCAGTTCGGGATTTAGCTCACAGGTTTGACCAGTAACTTCCATTAACCAGTAACTTCCATGAACTTCCATTAACATACTTAACTAAGGTTTTATACTATGAGGAGGTACAAATGAATGACTAATCGTTCAAATCAACATGATTTTTTAACAGGCTTGCTTATTTATTTATTTATTTATCTATCTATCTATTTATTTTTGAGAAAGAGAGAGTATATGAGGCGGGGAGGGACAGAGAGAGGGGGACAGAGAATTCAAAGCAGGCTCTGTGCCAACAGCACCCAGCCCGATGCGGGGCTCGAACTCATGAACTGCGAGATCATGACCTGCGCTGAAGTTGGATGTTCAACCAACTGAGACACTTAGGTGCCCCGTAGACATATCTAAAGGTGAGAACAGATGCTTCGGGACTGTAGGAGCTGACCAAACTTTAGCTTTGCCTCTGCTCAGCTACTTCCGGTTAAAGCTAGGGACTCTGGCTCCCTCCCACCTCTGTTCCTGTCCCACTAACATCCAGAGCCCCAGATGCCAACGTATGCCTGGGATGCGGAAACACTTCCCCTCAGAAAGCCCAAACAGACCTCTGAAGGGACAGTTCCCTTACCAAGTAACTTACTTCTAAGCCAGTAACTTCCAAGAGTTTATCATAAAGCAGGTAGTAACAACTCCAATGGTACTGTCATTAAGATGCCAAAGTAGAAGTGAAAATGAGGTTAAGTTAACGGATGGTTAAATAAATGACCAAATAAGAACTAAACTCCCAAATGGAAAAGCCACTAGCTCATCTGGTCTAGAGACAATAACCTCTGGTCAATTTGGTCTAAAAAAGCATTGAATTACCACCAATACTAAAATGGGTCCAA